CTCTTGCCCAAAAAGGTCGAGTATATAAAAACTCACTTGCTAAACGGGCCGAATTCCCACTTAATATTATTGTTGTTGTTTACACTTTCAGAATATTTAGAATAATTTATATTAATTTATTAAGATAATTAAGTTTACAATACTGATTTGTAGCTCGAGACTTATGGGGCTCGAATGGCCCGAGTCGGAAAACGACGACGTTTTGATTTTTTTTTTCTTTTCTTTTCTTTTCTTTCTCTTTCTCGATTTTTTCTGAAGATGCAAAAGATGAAAGTGAAGAAGAAGAAGAAGAGGAAGAGAAGAGGAAGCTGGACAATTTCATCAACATCAACATCAACAATCATCAACACATTATCATCACTAACAATTTTTATTTTTTATTTTTACTTTTTTTCTGTTCCTAATCTACTTAGAAAAAAAAAAAGAAGAAGAAGAAGAAGAAGATAAAATAGAGTTTCAGTTTCAGAGCATCTTCATCTTCATCAAAAGCCTCCTCCTTCTCCTCTCCGAATCATTTTTGTCACATATTACTATTTGATTTTGCTCTCTCTCTCTCTCTCTCTCTTCTCTACACCAAAAGCCTTCTCCTTCTCCTTCTCCTTCTCCGACACCCACAATCCGGATCACCGTCGGAGTCTACGATGAGGCAAGGCGAGCTCCTTCTCTTCTCCCTCTATTTTGGGTTTGATTGATTTTGTTTGATTTTGTTTGATTTGGTCTGTGGCTTATTGGTTTTGATTTTGATTTTTGGGTTTAACTAATTTGGGTTTGATTTCTTTTCCCAGATTTTTGGGTTTTGTTTGTTAGCTTTTCCAGATTTAGGTTTGAATTGGTTTTGGGTTTGATTTGTTAGCTTTCCCAGATTTTTTATTTGGTTTTGATTTGTTAGCTCTCCAATTATTAATCGTAAACTAATCTTTAATGTTTTTTGCCAATCTGGGAGATGAACAACAATTTTGATTTGTTCAGAGAGTTTGGAGAGAGATGAAAATATATTGACTATATCAACTCTCTTTCAATGGAGAGAAATGAACAAATCTGTTGATCAACAGGTCTTTCAATAGAGACATGAACAAATCAATGGAGAGATGAACAACTAAAATATAGTGCCAATCTGGGAAAGCTCTCCAATTATCATCGTAAATTGTTGAAGGAGAGAAAGAGATGAACAAAAAAGAAGAAGAGAAGAAACAAAGCAAGGAGACAAAGGGAGAGAGGTTGAAAGTGAAAAGTCGGGCCACTCGAGCCACGCAAAAATCGAGCTACGAAACATTATTCTTAAACTTATTAAAGAAAAATGATTCGTAGCTCGAATTCGGTGGCCCGAATTCGGCTCGAAATCCAAAACGACGTCGTTTTGGATTTCGATTTTTTTTTTTCTTGCGTTTTGAATCAGAATACACAGAGAGAGAAGTCGGGAAAGAGGAAGAGAAGGAGAAAAGAGGAAGAGAGAAAGAAGAGGAAGAGAGGAGAAGAAGAAAAGAAGAGGAACCAAGATGATGATGTTGATCTGAAGATGATGATCTGAAGAAGAAGATGATGAAGATCTCTGTTTTTTTTTATCTGTTTTTTTTTTATTGGCGATGCGCCGATCTGTTTTTTTTTTTTTTTTTTTTGATCTGGAGATGATCTCTGTGTTGTTGTTGATGAAGATGTTGATATTGATGAAGATCTCTGTGTTTTTTATGATGAAGATGAACTCAGGTTTGATGAAGAAAAATGAAGAAATACCCAAATGGGTATTCCAGATTTTCTGTGCTGCTCTCAAATGGGGAAGAAAATCTGGTGTGAGAAAAATCGGTTCCTCTTCATCATCTTTTTTGGGTATTTTCTCACAGAAAATCTGGATGGTGTCGATTCTTTTTTGGGTACTTTTGTTGAACCAATTTTGGATGTGAGAAAATCTGAATGTGAGAAAATACCCAAAGAAGAGGAACCAATTTTGTATTCCAGATTTTGGATGTGAAAAAAATAAATAAATAAATAAATAAAATTGTTGATGATGATGATGATGATGATGATGGTGATGATGTTGATGAAACCCAACTTGTGAATCTGTCTGCATTTTTCTTCTTCTTCTTCTCTTCTTTTTCTTTTTCTTCAGCTTCAGAAATGGCGAAAAAAAGAAAAGAAAAAAAAAAAAAAAAAAAAGACACTAAAACGATGTCGTTTTGGTGTCGAGCCAAATTCGAGCCTCCGAATTTCGAGCTACGAATCGGAACTGCTTATTAAATCCCACAACCAAACCGTTAGGTCAATCATTATATATTATTCAGTAAAAATACTTAAATTTAAAAGATTTGCTAGTGGAAAAAAAGTTTACTAATAAATATAAAATGACTCGTTCAACATTTTAAAGTGGATCACTATGGTCCTGTTTGGTATAACTGTTAAAACAGATTATAGATTATATCTTAATAGATTATAAATTATGACTTTAATCAAAAGCTGTTAATCTGTTTGGTATAATTGTTGGATTATAGATTTAAGTTGTTGAGTAGTGTTTGTTAAATAAATTGTGAAGTAGCTTTTTCAATTAATTTTTATTTTTTATTATTCACTATTTGTCTACTTTTCTCATAAAAAATAATAATAATAGTTTATAGTCTATTTGGGTCTTTTCTATTTTTAAAAAAATATAAAATAAAAAAAATATAAGAGTATAACCGTGAATTAACATGTCCACAGTAGAAACTGATAATCAGAAGTAAGGGGTGAGCAGCTTCTCAGAATCAGCTTTTTTGACTTAAAATAAGTTATTAGAATCAGAAACTGTTCGAAATAAGTTTAACCAAACAGTCTAAAATAACTTTTTAAAAATCAGAAACCATAAATTAACTCAAAAAATCCCCACCAAACACCTCCTATATGAACAAAGAAGCACAAGAGAATTACACGTCACCAAACTGAATGTGACTCGGTCAATCTGTGTGTCTGTTACGTGTCATTCATGTTTTAATACTCGTTTGGTTTCATAAAATTAAGTTTATTTTTTAAAAAATTAAATTTTTTATATTTTTATTTTTTAGATATACTTAATCTAGATACATTAAAAATTATAATATTTATGAATTTTTTTAACAAATTCATCAGACACAAAAAATAAATATATACATATATTCAATATATTTTCATATTATTATGTATTTATTAAATTTTTTAATTATTTTTCATAAATATTTTACTTTTTAGGTGCATCCAAATACTTCTAGAAAGAAAAAAAAATTACTTAAAATATTAAAAAAAAATTTACTAAAGGCAAAAAAAAAAACACAAATGAAAAAAACATTATATTCAAAAAATAAATCAAAACCAAACAACATGTAGAATAATTTATATTAAATTATTAAGATAATTAAGTATATTCAATCCCACAACCAAACTGTTAGGTCACCTCAATTTCTTGCCATTTTATATTCATTAAAAATACTTATACTCAGAGGTAAACTCACACGAACAAATAATTGATTACATTTAATCGTTACACAAACTAATTTTAAATTTTACCACATTTATCCCCCCAATTTTTATTCGTGATTAGTTATAAGCTTATAATTGTTATGGAGATGGATTTCTTTTTTCGTTGCGGACTTTCTCTTCTACTTGAGTTGTTTGAATAACTTTGCTGATAGGTTTTTCTGTCCAAATAAAAAGAAAGAAAAATAAAACTATAGTTAAATTTAAGACACGTGTTTTGCTCTATCACCATTTTTAATAACATTCGGCATTTTATTTGCAAAAAATTATATGATAATTTTGGAACAAATCTATGTGGTGTCCTAATTTTATTTTTATTAATTAAAACAATAAGATTCAGTGTTTGATTTTTGAGAGACAATGTTACAAATGTTATGCAATGAATAATGTGTAGTACTGTGTAGTACCTCGATACCACCAAATAGACTCATGAATTACGTGTTTGATAAAAACTAACAAAAAAATATTTTTTATAATTAACAAAATAAGTCTGTTTGAATTTAAAAATAATAATAATAAGTTTAAAAAAAAAGTTTAAAATATAAAATAAAAATTTCAAACTAAAGTCTTATCAGTTTTTGTTAAAAATTGTTTTACACCAGCCTAATGTAATGTTAGGGAGATAAGGAAAAGGATTATCCCCAGCGCCTCACTTGACCCCACTTTTTTTGTTTTGCATTTTTATCTGTCGACTTTTTTTTTAATTTCTAATTTCTACTTTCAAGATCTTCACATCTAGTAAGATCTAAAAGTTAAAAACTTCTTAAAAATAATCACTACAAACCAAAAATATATATTTTTGAAAAAACATTTGCCAAGCCAGCAAGTCACCTAAGATGCTTGATTCACAATTTCCGTTTGGACCAATCAATAATTGCCAAGTGTACATATTTCCATAGGCGCAGCCCTGCCAAAAATATCAATTGCTGTTGGGACTCCAAGCCCAAACCAAATGGAGCCCAAGCTTCAATCTTCATCCACTACGCCACATAAACTACATATGAATAATATTTAACAGATGCATTTTTTTTCAATATAAAAGCATTATTGCTTTTCAACAAACAATCAAGCCACAAAAATATAAATATAAATATACGAGCAATGCCACTCTTAAAAGAATTTCACAAAGCTCGCGATCAATTGCTTAAAATATGAAGGAAAAAAAAAATGATGTTAAAAATAGAGAGAAAACTATATACAGTGTGGCTAGGAGTGTTCCATATTTATAGAGCTCGACATACCCCTTTATAACAAACAAGGTTGTCTTGTCTATTTTAAATACTATTAATTTTATAAAATGTCACGTTAACAACAAAAATGAAGGGAAATGATCCTAATGATTGAATATATTTTGCCTAACGTTGAAGGCTAGCTACATGTAGCTAGTGAATATGAGTTGAGCCAAAATGCCTAATCATATGCCTAGTGCATTGGAATTGAAAAAAGTGAATCACACTAGGAGACGTTTTGCACACCAAAATGAAAAGATTGAAAGAGCAGAGTAATGTTATTAAAATGTTTGGTGAGCAGGGAAATATTATTAAATTATCTAGGATAAACAACAGAACAAAACACACTAATTCATCTCACTCCTTTTATTACAATCAATTGTAACTCTTATTTGGAAATAGTTTTCAGCACGGACATCGCTTTGCATATCAGTGAAATTTCATATACTAGTCTGCAAAGAGATGTTGAGCCAAGAAAAAAAAAAATGTGCAGCTTAAGATGTGGCTTTTTAGAGGCCAATACATAGTGATATATTAAATTGTTTTTTGTGCATTACTAAATATAAAATAGAGACCTTTCCACTGTGTGTAGCCAGCCATAGTCATATAATTACACATGAGCACAATCAACTCGAAATAAGATAGATTGTTTTCACAAAACATTATTGACTAGAAACCGGATATAGGTTTTTTTTCACACATACCTGGGGGTGCTCACGTAAAATTATGTCTTGCAAAGCCATAAAGTTTTCCAGCAGCTGCCAATAACGAAAAGGGAATTGATATGAAGAGCAAAGCCCGGGCTCCATTGGGTGATATTGCCTTTATTGAGCACATATAAGAACCAAACAGAGCCAAAACTGAGATTTGAGGCCATGGCTTGAAAGGAAATTCATGCAGTAGGAATAGAGTCATGATCACTGATGCAATGAACACCATGGAATTGAACAACAGGAACGTACAAGGAAACAGTGGATATTGTTTATTCACTTGGATACTGTCCGTCATGTAGGTATGAACGTAGCCCTCTTTGGGGCCAAGGAAGTGAAATGGGACTTGGAAAGTTATTGCTGTGAAAAATATGGCAATCAGTAGCAACGCATTTCTGGATCTGATGATGGAGTTAACAGTGCTCATATCTGATGACCTGTTGGATAACCTTCTATAACTATAATCATCATTGTGCTTGCTTCTTTGATTAGTTAAATCACATGCTCTAGCTCCATCTTTTGGACCGATCTTGCTAAATTTGACATGCATATTCTCTGAATTAGGTAGATCACATGGTATGTCCAGAGTCACAGAACCACCAGAGTTCAAGGCCTTGGCATCCAGCAATTCGTTGATGAGCAATACTCTTAATGTCTGCAATTAAAGTAAGCGTGAGTTCTTCTATTTCTAAAAATAGAGCACAATATGAGAGATAATATACAAGAAAATGTAATATATAAGCAAACAGTCTAGATTTTTATAAGTTTCTTCTGTTTTTAAGGCTTTATTTATCATTCTTATTATATTCAGCTGTCTGGCTGATACAGTGACTAAAACTTTCTGTAAAGGGTTCATTATCTGAGAGCACCTGGAATATAGATATAGTTAAAGGACAACAACCGACAATGGTAGTGACCATCACTAGGTGAAGAGCAAGACAAGCTGGATCAGAGAGAAAGGCATTGAGAATTCTATATTAAAAGATGGTTGAAGCCTGTTGTCCATGGAGGAGGAGACCCTCTTATAATGTAAAATATGAGATAGACCATGCTAGTCAGATAAGATTAGGACAATTTCCCATAATCATTCAATAAAGAGCTTGTCACTCCGACTTTGCCATCTGCCAGGTCAAGCTGAAAAACTCTCCCTACCTCGAGTTACTAGAAGTCAGGACAATCCCAACAACTCAACACAGGGACAGATCCAAGATTCTGACATAGAGGGTGAGTATATATACTAACAAAAAGAAAAAATAAAATAAAAACTATGGACTAAACATTAATTTCTACAGCCACAAAAAGTAAAAATAAGATGAAAATATATATAAACAAGCATGTTTACTTGTATCCATGTTGACTTACAAAATCTACTAAAGTAATATACAATATTTTTCTCAATGAATGTTGAGAGGGTAATTTTTGGGAAAAATTGGGCCGAGCTTCGAGTTGGGTTTTGAGGCCCAAAACGCAGAGGACTAGGTAAAAAGGCCGTACTGAATACTCCGGCCTAGAAGGAAAGGTTATTCCGGCCTTGGGGAGGCAAAGTTACTTCGGCCCAAGGCGGTGAGTTTATTCCGGCTCAAGAAGAGATAGTTGCTTCGGCCCAAGGAGGAGTAAAGCTACTCCGGTCCAGAGGCAACTCGGAGTTAGGCCGGTCGCAAATATTTTAATTTTATACTTCCCATGTTTTATAAATATAGACAAACGTTTGTTTTAAAAAACCTTGACGAGATAGCCTCTTTAATTTGGAGATGACTAATAGCTAATACTACCTTTCCACCACTATAGAAAATGAGCTTTGCGAAAAAGGGGGGTGATTGTCCCCTTTGCCCCCCCTGTAGGTCCATCTTTGTCAATAAACACATGCTCTTAGCCACCAAACAAAAGGTCCCCAAAGTCTAAGACTATCTCCAACAGTTTACTAATTTTTTCATCAAATCTGAGTTAAAAAAAAAAAAAAGACAAGTTCCTCAATCTGATATTAGCCACTCCAACGGTGCATTGTAACTTTCATCAAAAAGGCACTGGACGTCTGGCAGGTCGACCGACAAGGCAACTGAAATTTTTTTTTCCCCTCCATGGCTGCTGCTGCTCTTCATTTTCTGTGTAATCCATGGCTGCTGCTCTTGCAGGGGATTGGGATCCAGGAAGCCCAAGCCTCAGCTCTGTAGCTCTCAAATTGAAACAGGCCTTTTGCTGCTTTGTACACATTTACGAACCGAAAATTGTAAAAAGTTCACCAAGAAATTGTCAGTGAGCACACTCTCTCTCTCTCTCTCTCTCAAATTGAAACAGCCCTTCAGTAGAGCTACCCTTGAACTGAAGACTTCTTCTCTTTCTCTCTCTTTCTCTTTCTCTTATTCAGGACTCAACTCAAGAGAGAGACAAAATCCAAAGAGCTCCGTCTTTCCCCCATCTGTGTCACCATGATCTCGTTGAATGGAAGCAGTTTTCTGGTAATTTCAATCAAACCCATTTCCAAATCCCTCAATTCAGCTTTCCAACTTTTGGGTCTTCCTTCTATTTTTCTTTTGACATTGATTCCCAAACTTTCAAACAATTTACTTTGTTCATTTCAAAATTATTGAATCAGATTGTTACAAGGAAAACAAAACCATTTCGTCAATTTCAATTTCAAGAACACCCATTTCTCTGCATCTCTCTTGTGCTTTTTGGCATTAACAAGGATCAAAATTTCGAGTCTGATCATTGAAATTTGTATAAAATTGAGGGTTGTTGATTTGAGCACAGAACAACTCGTTTGTTGGAGTTTCGAGAAGTTTATCTCAATCACAGAGAAGAGTCCATGCTCCACCAGTGGTGGTAGTCGCGGCTTCAAACCCGAACGGAAGGCCAGGGGAAACAAGAGAGAGTGAGAGAGAGAGAGTGCTTACTAAAGCTATTTGTGTCCAAACCATGGCTGCTGCTTTTCATTTTTGTGAAATCCGAACAACCGGGAGACAACTGGCCGGACATCTCTGGCCGGTAGTCCTGTGGCCCCCACACCCAACGGTCACACACACAGTGAATTGGTGAAAGGTAAGCCAAGTCCTTACTTTGGTGCAAGATTTAAAATATTCTCAATTTGATATTGTTTTGATGAGCTAAGAGCATCTCCAACGGTTCACTAAATTTTTCACTAAATCTGAGTAAAAAAAAGACTATTTTCTCAATCTGATACAAACTGCTCCAATGGTTGTTATCAAAACAGGGGTCGACCGGTCGGACGGTCGACCGGTTAGTGTATTTTTTTTTTTACCTCTTTGAACCTTTTGACCTGTTTGAACCAACCTATTTGCAAGGGAACCGGTGGACCGGTTGGTCAACTGGTTGTTCTCCCCCAACAGTCACGCACAGTAAATTGGTGAAATCTTCCCCCTGTTCTCACTTTGATGAAAAATTTGGTGAATTCTCGTTTTGGTACCAATTTGATGAAACTATTGAAGCCGTAAAAAGTAACTTTTTCACCAAATTTCAAATCTGATGCAAGGTTTGGTAAAGCATTGCAGATGGTCTCAATTTGATATTGTTTTGATGAGCTAAGCCAGATCCTCATTTGGTGCAAGATTTAAGATATTCTCAATTTAATATCGTTGAAATCATTTGAGAGTTAAAAATTGTATTTTCACCAAATTTAAATTTGGAGATGGTCTAAAGACAACAGATGAGGGCACAAAATTTGAGACATTCCTCTCTAGCCTTGCTACAAAATTAGAGGAAACCTATTTATCATTTCCTAGATTAAGTTAAATATAAACTTAATCTAGCTTTTTGTTTATGTAAATCTACATTTACTTTAATAACTTAAAAAAAAATATTGTGGATTTGACCTAAAAATTAAACAAATAATTTAGAATAAAAATAAATCAAAACGTTAACATTTAAATTGATAAAATAAAAAACTTAAGATGATTTTTTTTTTTTTTTTTTGTAATTTCCCATAAAAGTAATTTACCTGGGGTTGTTTTGTATTTGCTGGAGTGGAAAGATGCAGAGCAGTGTTTCCTTCAAAATCCTTGCGACGGAAATCCCTAAACAAATTCAAATCGCCATAAAATTCAATCTCTGTTGCATCATCGAAACAGGAATTTGTCAAATTAACACTGGATTGCTGTTTCTCCCACTTTACAGAGAGGCTCTTCAACGCTGTAAACCCATTAGATTCGTAAGAAGAGTAAAGGGAGTGAAAGAGGTTACGAAGATCAATGTCGGTGATCACTTTAAACTCCAAACGAAGAAGCTTCTTCGTAAGGCCAAACGAAGAATGCCCGAGTCCTGGTTCCTCCTGATCGAAACGAAGCCCCTTCAGTTTAGTTTCCAGCACCTTAACCTCTCCTCCGTCCTCCTCCTCCTCCTCCGCTTTCCCCTCCACATGATGATCTAGTGGGAAGCGATTTGAGGAAACTATTTCCATATGCACAGAGTTGTACAGCTCAACCTCTTTCTCTCTCAACCAAACAAGACCTAACAATGCCAAGTGTGCATTCGTCAAATTCTAGTATATACACCCAAAAAACGAAATAAAGAGGAAATTCTCAAACTGAAAAAAAAAAAAGATGCACTTGCGTGTAGCGTTCTGTTTGTTTTCATGATATGTTAATTTGTAAAACTTTTTATTTTTATAGTGTTTGTTTAGGAAATGATAAATTACAAATGAAAAATGTTTAAGAGGCTGACATTTTTTTTGTAATTTAATCCAAAATCTGACAAATGTTCATTTTTAACTAGTTAAACACTCAATGATACAGGATTTACCGTTCTTACTCCATCTTTATTGATGTGTTTGTGGGCGTAAAATATGAGTGTCTAGTATTATTAATTACAAATATATTTCTTAAGATTTTTTTAAAATATAAATTACTCTTTGTACTTATGAAAATTACATTTCACTCCTTAAAATTTCTTAAAATATAAATTATTCTTTGTGGTTATAAAAATAACATCTTGTCCCCTTAAAGTTTCTAATTTCGTAAATAGTCTATTTTATTAATAAATTATTAAATTAGTTAACAGTTTTTAATGATGCCAAAATTTTATTTCAATTAATAATTCAAGTAATTTTATTATTATATAAGAAAACAATTACAAATTTTATTTTTCAGTTAATTTGGTTAAAAAAAATTCTAACAATAAGGTGGGAATTTTTAATTTTTCAAATCATATGAAGCAATTCGTATTTTATACAAATTTCAAGTGATATATTTGTAATTTATCCTTTAAAAAATTATGTTAATATGATAATCATATATTTTTATTTTATTCTGCTTATTTAAAAAATAAATAATTTATTTTTTAAAATATATTTTATTATTAAAATTTTTAAACTCAAACGTAATAAAATAAATAAGTCATAATTATTTGATTGGTTTTTATTTTTCTTATGAACGGTATACATGAACAATCCTATTAAGCCTCCGTTTGGGAAGTGGGTTGGCTTTTTGGCTTTTTGGCTTTTTTGGCTATTTTAGCCTGGGCTAAAAAGTTTGGTTTGGGAAGGGCTTTTTGGCTTTTTGGCTTTTTAATAAATAATTTATTTTTTAAAATATATTTTATTATTAAAATTTTTAAACTCAAACGTAATAAAATAAATAAGTCATAATTATTTGATTAGTTTTTATTTTTCTTATGAACAGTATACATGAACAATCCTATTAAATAAATGATTTAGCTCATCAAATCACGACTGTACAACACTCGTCAATACAGACGAAAAATAGAGGTGATTAACAATTGCTGGAGCGGTAACATACAATTTTATTTTTTATTTTTTTTAAATAGAATATGTGCCAATGGATGCAGCTCCATTTTGCTGTTTATGAGTTCAAATAATTTTTAAAATATGATTATTAAAAGTTAAAGAAATAAAAGATTATTTGGAGTGTCTTAAATAAGTGTACTTTTTATTTTTTTAAATTAAAAAGTTGAGAAAAAAAATATAGATATTTGGATTAACTTTTTGTCTTTTTACGAAAAAATGTGTAATAAAAAATTGTATAAATAAAGTGTATAGTGGAAGAAAGTTGAGTGGTTGTACGGCTGCCCTGCTGCCCCAACATGTCTTACCCAGAAAATAATTGCCTCCTCCGAGGCAAAGTGTTTGGACAGTGATGGTCGGTCCGTGAGGGCCACCATGAGTCTCATTTTAATAATCTGAATCGTATAATATGTACAACTCGTCGAGTATTATCTGCTTGTAAAAAATCACGTTGATCGGATATCGATAACTATATGATCATATTAGTTTTTTTTAACAATTAACTATCACACCATCCGTTTTGTTTATACAAAAATGATTTGATCATATAGTTGACGATATCCGATCAACATGATTTTTTATAGGCATATATTACTCGACGAGTTCTACATATTGCACGATTCGGATTATCAAACGGAACCCTTAGTGAGCCCCCAAAGGCCTAACATTACCATCAAACTTTGGCCCTTTACATATGTATTTTTTTTTTTTTTGGCCCAAAAAGTGCATAATGGCCTTCCTGCTTCACAGGTACGGCTGACAACATCCATCAAACTTTTGTATTATAAAAATATATAAAGTATTTTTTTAGTATTTTTTATTTGTGAATAGTAATGACTTTTTTACTTTTTGTGTAACTTTTAATTTTTTAGATTATTTTAGATTTGCCAAACCAACCCAAGTGTTTCTAATTTCTACTGAAAAATGTAAATCTCTTAACCCTATAATGGTTGTCATCATAGATATAACTCATATCTCATTAATTTTAAATTCAATACTGCGTTTGTTTGGGCGATAAACCAAATGTTATAACTGGACTATATATGGTACACATTCCAATAGAGGTATGTATCATAGAATTTCCTTTTTTCATTTGCTAATTGTGTAAGGATCAGATGAATTTCTAAGAAGCTCATTAGAGACCGCTGACAGTACAATGACGTGTGGCTAAGATCATAAGGAGCAATAAAAAGTAAAAGTCTTCCTTGTAGAAGGAGATTCACATAATACAAGAGGAACGTCTGATTCATCTTCATTTAACGGTAGAAACATCAAGACAACAGATACAGGAGTATAGATCAGGCTTACTAGATGGTAAGTCCGTCCGATCAATCTGATCCAATGAATACAATGCTTGGCAAGTTTGCCACTAACATCTGACATAATCTAAGGTGTCTATAAAAGGATGATCCAACGATTAAAGGCAAATGCAACTTAATCACTTGCTCGACTAGAGCCAAGAACGAGTAGAACCCTCGAATCAAACATTGATCCAATAAATAGGATTCAAGTTAGAAAAACCATAAAAGTCGAAGCAGGTAAACACAAAGGAGGACAAACCATGGATAATTTAAGAACCCTCTTTTAAATACAAATTCTCGTGGCCAAACAATATTCTGACTTGATCGCCGAAGGGTCCTCCTAACCAATCCTGGTGTCGGGGGTGATCACTGACGTTTTGACTTCTCTTGGCAGAGTAAAGAAAGGGATATGTAATCTCACTTTCCCTGTGGATAAAAATTTTATCTTTCACACTAACCCATTGTAATTTTAGGGAGTTCAAATTTATTAAAGTTTCAGATCTCAACTTTACGATGAAATTGATCCATTATTAGATTAACTTGAATATATTTCGATGATCTAAACTGTTCATCTTATATGACTAATTAAGAAAATTACCAATGCAAAAAATCAAATTGATCTAATATCGATTATCATACTATTAAAATATTTTTATATACATTTCACATATTTTTAATGATAGACAATCCATCTATTATAATATATGTGTGTGTGTGATTTAGCAGTTGTTTGGGATGACCTAAATAAGTGTACTTTTTGTCTTTTTATGAAAAGATGTGCAGAAAAGTAGAGAGGTGATGTGATGAAAAAAATAAAAAGATGAATTATTTTTGGGTTGCCAAACTTGGCCTTAATCATGTAATTATTTATATCTGATTAACCTAATTTTTTGCGTATAAATTCTTCACAGTTTATCATATGAGATGAATGGTTTAGAACATTGACATAGATACAAATTAGTCTCATACATAGTCAACCTTGTTTGTGAACTTGAGATATTCAAATTTAACAGGTCCAAACTTGTTTTAACTATATTATTAAGTTAAATGTTAGTTAAGACGTGCTAACTGTAGTTCAAAAATATTTTGATGAAAAAATATATAATATTACCAAATGTCTGTATTTAATTTCATGAAAAACATTTGCTATTCCTATTAAATTTGTAGGATTGGATTATCTCAAATTGGCCATCCAATTATAATTGAGAGAGTATTTGAGTTTAGTGGGACCATTTTGGAGCCAACATTGGTGATCCGAATCGTTCACTTTTTAGGACTCGTTGAGTAACGTATTTATGCAAAAAATTAAAAATAATTTGACATCAGTAACAGTATGTTTGAATCACATTTATTTTTTTTAAAAAATAATTAATAATTATAATTTCAAGAGTGGTCATTCATTTTTTATAGCACATATACGATTCATAAATATAGTTATTGATATTCGATCATCTTAATTGTTTTACATAAATATTCTATTTAATAAATATTTAAAAGTAAACAATTCGAATGACCAAGATGAGCCCTAAAATAGAACTACTAATAAGTACACACCTTTTATGTTTATGGATCACATCACCTCTCTATTTTTTGCATATCTTTTCATAAAAATTCAAAAAATGCACTTATTTAAATCATTTCAAACCACCCAGTTTGACAAGTGAGGTGGGACTCAACATCATATTTTAGTCTAAAAGTTAACAAGTCAATAAAAAAATCTAAAAATCTAACAAATTATACAAAAAAATTCAAAAATTTCATTTTCTCTCTATTTTTTACATATCTTTCCTTAAAAAATTAAAAAGTCATCACAAACATACTAATTTATTTACCTCATAGTTTAACCATAAAACCAAAAAATTACTAAAATATGTTTCCAAACGAGGCGAAAATAAGTTAAATAATTAATAAGACAAAAATCTTACATCCAAATAATAATTATTTTGCTTTTTTTCTCATAAAATTATAAAAAAAATTAAATTAAAATTTTAAGCAATATTTTTTTAACTATATTAAAATAACTAAAAAAATTAAAAAATTAGAGCTCATTTGGGAAGGGATGGTTTGGGCTTTTTTGGCTAAAATAGTTATAAAAAATAAAATAGATTTTTTAGCTCAATAAGACAAAATATCACATCTAATTCATAATCATTACATTTTTTATTTCACAAAAATAACAAAAAAACAAAAAATCATTCTTAAACGAGACTTTTTAACCCAAATTAAAATAATTAAAAAAATCAAAAAATAAAAAAACTAACTCACTATCCAAACCAATCCTTAGACTAAGGCATATTTTGAGAACAAATTATTTTAATAATTTTTTGACTTTTTAACTAAAATATGAGATAAAAAATTAATATATTTAAAATAATTTTTAAATTTTTTATAAAAATATGTGAAAAAAATAAAATTTTTAATTTTTTAATATAAACTATAAATTTTAATTTTTTTTTAATAACTGTTTCAATTT